AATGTTATGCTCCCAAATATGAATCAAATCCGTTTATTGACAAATTGGCGCAAAATGTATGTAAATTCAGTTTTATTCAAACAATAAGTTCAATTTAAATGAAAATACTTAAATATTAAAACAATATATATTACATGGATGGTAATTTTTTAGCAAATATGATTATAAGACCTTTACTGTCAAGGTTTGTTAAAATAGAAATAATACAACTAGATTAAATCCTTACATGTACGATATTTGTTAAAAGCATTGACAATTATTCCTGTCTAGTTCGACTACTTTGCCTTGGTAAATTGTGAGTCGATTTGCCAATTCTTACACATAATGTCAGATGCCAGAGGAGTTTGTCCTTTACTTATTAAAAAGAGAAAAGAATCCTGCTAACTTATTGGTCAATAAAAGTGAACTGCTACTTGTATGCAGAATTATGACATTAAGGAGGTTTGCACTAATGTAGAATTCAATATTGAAACATCTTGTTGAAAACTTTACCTCTACCAATAGTGATGAAGTGCAAGGAGTTGGATAGGATCAATACACTTGTCTTTAAAACAAGAACTGTCGGAGGACAGTATTGGCTCGACTTTTGAAAAAGTTGTCACAAGGGTGTTTTATTTAGTATAACAATGCTAATTACCTATGAATACACAAAATTGACCGAAAAGGTACAAAGGCTTGTTATTAAGATGTTTTATCAAGTAAATCACTGCTTTATTATTATGAATGCATAAAATTGTCCCAAAAAATGCACAAACCTTTCAGTAGTTATGGAGTTAACAGCTTACAAGCAAAACTTTACCATAAATTTCTAGCTTACAAGCAAAACTTTACCATGAATTTCTACGTTGAAAAAGGGCAGAAAAATCAGCCTATATACAAGGTAGAATTATGGATCTTGGTCAGTGACCTACAATTATGACCCTAAATGCATATGTGAAGTTTTAAATAAATATCTTTAATAGTTATGAGATATGTAAAACTTGCATGTAATCATTAACCAAGAGACTAAGTAGAAAAGGGGAGATGAATCAGCCTAAATGCAAGATAGAGTTATGGAACTTGGTCAGTGACATACAATTATGACCCTCCAATTATAACCCTCTGTACATGTGTAAAGTTTCAAGTAAATATCTTTGAAGACCTTTAACCTGTAACCAAATTTCTAAGTTTCAAAGGGGCAAATAATTCTGCAAATATTGCAGGCAGAGTTATGCAATTTTGCAAACTGATGTACATTGTTACTATAAATAAGTATTGTAAATTTCAATTAAATATCTCAAGCAATAATTGAGATATTTGACTTTAGAAAAAAAATTTAACCAAAATTTCTAAGTTAAAAAGGGGCTTAATTCTGTAAATATTGTAGGTAGAGTTATCCAACTTGTCAATCTGATGTACCTTGTTACTATAAATAAGTATTGTAAGTCAGTTTCAATTGAATATCACAAGCAATAATTGAGATATTTGACTTTACAAAAAAACTTAAACCAACGCAGACGCCGACGCGGACGCCGGGGCGACTATAATAGCTCTCATATTCTTCGAATAGTCGAGCTAAAAAGTCACAGTAAATTTAATATTTCAATATTACATAAAACTTTATCATTCTGATAGCTGGTAAATTGAAAAGCCCATGTTTTTTTAAATAAGGCTACATATTAGATCTGTAGAAAACAGGTATCTTTCTTTCACTCGTTGGATACTGTTTTCTGCATTCATGTTTTAGTAAAACTATTGCAGAAATATTTTTAACTCATAATTATAAACATGTAAATGAAAAATGTTAATACATTATTCTCAACATTACTATATATATATATAAAATATTTAACATCTTAAATATAACAATTCAACATTCTATATATATCAAGTGTATCAAAAATAAAATCTGATTATAAAAACATGTAAGAAAAATATATAAAGGAAGCACAAATCATTGTTTTAATGGCATTCAGGTACATATTTACATTTACAAAAAAAAATATCTCAGTACATTATGAATTTACACTTATATTACTTTTATATTAAAGTACAAACAAAGGAGGGAACAATAAAACTAAATGTAATGTTGGGAGGAATTTTTTATCTTTGCAAGGCACGATGTCCTTTGGGAGAAAACATGTACACATTTGAATGATAAATTATAATTAAACAATAATTACAAGGGCTATCCAAATAAATGGAAGGCTATTCTAATTATTCAGGTAAAATTGAAACTTGCTTTTGTTTCTTGTTGGAATGTGTGAAATATTTGAAATTTGTAAACATCTCATAATATTTGTCCCATACAGCTGTGGCATTTTAATTCCACTTTCTAGAAATTTATATAAAACTGTAACACTTTATATGATTTTCACAAAATAAACATCAACCATTAAAAAGAGTTTTCTCACTAATAAATACACATGCATGACACTTTTAAAATTATCACAAATTCAATTTTCCAGAAACATTTAAACAATTTCTGTCAATATAGCAAACATAGTTTTCATTTGGAAAAGATAGTAATATTCCTCATAAAACCACATATTCAACCTCAAAAAGTAAACTTTCAGGATTATGCATGGGTACAACATTTAAAACCATATCTGACTATTGACATTATATTTAGAATTTAGAGTTTAATGAAAATATACAGAATAGGTAAAGGTTTGGCAAGCAATTAAATAAATTCCTTTGCAATCTGTTATATGGAATATTTCATACCATTTGCATCTAGACAAATATTGTTTTGTACAACTATCTATCATTTAAGTATGTTCCTAAATAAAATGTAATATCCCATTTAAATATAAGTATCAATTCTTTCATCAAATGACATGATTATTGTCAAACAATGGCATTGTGTATTTCATAACATTTTTCTCTATATATGTTTGATATGTAAAATCAATGGTAACAATTGTGTTAGATTTCAAAGTTCTCTGGGAATATAAAGGCAACAGTATTTTATATTTTCTTCACATGACTTTTTTTTACAAAATAAGTTAATAAATTTCAACACTCATCAAAATCAAGTACACTACAACTTTTACACAATTTGACCAAAAAAAAACAACAACAAATAAATAGATAAGAAAGTAAAAAAAAATTAAGTATACAGCATTAAACCAGAATGAAACTTATAAAAGGAATGTTTTTATGTTTCAGGCAGCATGATTTGTAAAAGGCATTTTTAATCAATTATTGATTTTATTCATATTTTAGCAAATACAAATAACCTAATAAATTTCAACACTCATCAAAATCAATTACACTACAACTTTTACACAATTTGACAAAAAAAAACAACAACAAATAAATAGATAAGAAAGTAAAAAAAAAAGTTTAAGCATACAGCATTAAACCAGAATGAAACTTATAAAAGGAATGTATTTATGTTTCAGGTAGCAATATTTGTAAAAGGCATTTTTAATCAATTATTGATTTTATTCATATTTTAGCAAATACAAATAACCAATCATATTTAAACCAAAAACAAAACAAATATTTCAACAAAAGCAATGGTCACAATAATACCAAAAAGCATTAAAAGCAAATAACACTTCAATTAATGAAATTTTATGTAAGCATCTTCACTAAATCTGATTTCATAAATAATTTGGAATGAAAAGAATGCAAAACTTTGTAAAAGAATTGCAGTGACTTGTATATCAATATCTTAGACAAGTAAAATAAACAACAGGGCTGTCAGCATGCTACACTATAATGAGTACTTATCCAGAAGAAATGATGATGGTCACTAACAAGTTTACAAAAGAAATAAGTAAAACTTTACAAAAATTCCTAGTAAAAAAGGGGCATTATTTTGTCACTATTATATGAATACATAAAATTGTCCCAGAAAGATACAAAGGCTTGTTATTAAGATGTTTTATCTAGTAAATCACTGTTTGTTTATCATGAATGCAAAAAATTGATACTAATAGCTCAACCTGAACCTTTGGCTATGGTGAGCTAAAAAGTTGTTTAGGAAGCTACCCAAAAGGTAACGCCACCACCAAGGCATGGTTAATACAGCCCACAAATTGTCAAGTCATCTAGGTAAAAGCAATGGATAAAATATTAAAATCAAATATAAAGCAAAAAATTTAGCTCTTAATCCTATCTAATTCTTTCACAGTATAAAGCAAAGGCAAAATAAATTTACATGATAATTTTCTTTCAGTAACTGAAGCATGGTATACAAACTTATTTCCAACTAATGCATAATTTACAGAATATCCCAGATCATATTTATTTTCATATGCAAACAAGTTAAAGCTACATTAACTAAATTTCATAAACAAGAGGGCCATGATGGCCCTGAGGTCGCTCACCTGTATATAGGCCCCCCCCCCACCCCCGGGCCAATTTTTACCCAAGGGCTTTTATTTGTTTATTTGAACAGACTTGGTAGACACCCATAAGAAGATGTTTCATGCTAAACATCTAAGTTCTAGCTCATTGGGTTTTTTAAAAGAAGATTTTTAAAGTTTTTACTATACACATATAGTTAAAAACAATGACACCCCTGGGGCAGGGCCAGTTTTGACCCCAGGCTTTTATTTGAACAAACTTTGTAGATATTTACTTAAAGATGTTTCATGCTTAATATCTAAACTCTAGCTATTTGGGTTTTTTCAAAGAAGATTTTTAAGTTTTTGCTATACACATATAAGGAAAATCAATGACCCCCCCCCCCCGGGCGGGGCCAGTTTTGACCCCATGGCTTTTATTTGAACATACTTGGTAGACACCCATTAGAACATGTTTCATGCTAAATATCTTAGCTCTAGCTCTTTGAGTTCTTTAAAAGAAGATTTTTTAAGTTTTTACTATATGCATATAGGGAAAATCAATGACCCCCTGGGGCGGGGCCAATTTTGACCACAGGGCTTTTATTTGAACAAACTTGGTAGACACTCATTAGAACATGTTTCATGCTAAATATCTTAGCTCTAGCTCTTACGGTTCTTTAAAAGAAAATTTTTTAAGTGTTTACTTTATGCATATAGGGAACATCTATGACCCCCTGGGGCGGGGTCAATTTTGACCACAGGGCTTTTATTTGAACAAACTTGGTAGACACTCACTAAAGATGTTTCATGCTTAATATCTTAGCTCTAGCTCTTTGGGTTCTTTAAAAGAAGATTTTTTAAGTTTTTACTATATGCATATAGGAAAAATCAATGACCCCCTGGGGCGGGGCCAATTTTGACCCCAGGGCTTTTATTTGAACAAACTTGGTAGACATTCACTAGAAGATGTTTCATGCTTAATATCTAAGCTCTAGCTCTTACGGTTCTTTAAAAGAAGATTTTTTAAGTGTTTACTATATGCATATAGGGAAAATCAATGACCCCCCGGGGCGGGGCCAATTTTGACCCCAGGGCTTTTATTTGAACAAACTTGGTAGACACTCACTAGAAGATGTTTCATGCCAAATATCTTAGCTCTAGCTCTTTGGGTTGTTTAAAAGAAGATATTTAAAGTTTTTACTATATGCATATAGGGAAAATCAATGACTCCCTGGGGCGGGGCCAATTTTGACCCCAGGGCTTTTATTTGAACAAACTTGGTAGACACTCACTAGAAGATGTTTCATGCCAAATATCTAAGCTCTAGCTCTTAGTGTTGTTTAAAAGAAGATATTTAAATATTTTTCTTTCAGTTGCCATGGCAACCAGAGTTCTGCATGGAATTAAATTCTTTGAACAATTATTAAAGGTGACCACCAAAGGAACATTCCTGTGAAGTTTGGATGAAATTGGCTCAGTGGTTTATGAGGAGATGTCATTTAAAGCAAAAGTTTACGGACGGACGACGGACGGACGACGGACGGACGGACGGACGGACGCCGGACGAAAATCGATCACAAAAGCTCACCCTTTCACTTTGTGACAGGTGAGCTAAAAAGAAATAGATACATTTCATTAATTAAATGTGTTTCATTTCAACTCATGTTCTTATGTTGGTGTCCAGACAACCAAAATGAGTTTAATAGGCCTAGAATTCTGCAACCACATGGCGCAATAAGAAGTAAAATTTCTATTTGCATGAGAAACTCTGCCTTTGGGTCATCTGTAACAAATGGAAAATCAACAAACATTTTGAAGCAGTTCGAATTCAACAGTATATTTCCCATTATATTACAGATGTTTTCATACAAATTCAATCTTTTTATGAGATGATTACTTTTTTGTGAACGACAGGGCTAATGCACTATGAAACCAAAACGGTAAAAGTTTGTTTGCACAAGAATATCTCATATTTGCTGTGAACCACATGGTAACAACCAATTTTTCCACTGTGACCTAGCGCATACACAACCTAATTATATTAGTTCTCTTTTGCATGTTAAAATTCATATACAAACTTTATTGTTACCGTGGTGTTTCCTTTAAAAATCATAACTTATGAACAATATTTAATGAAATTTACAAAAATACTGTTAAAAATGTTAAATAAACTATAAAATGCTTAGTTTTTCAGGTGATGAAAAATATATTTACATATTTATTTAATGTAGCTTAAAGCAATTGTTATGAATATAGAAATGACAACACTTCAGTTTAATTGTAGCTAAATTACTAACAGACTTCAGTATGGTCAGCTTAATCTTCCAAGCATTGTGAGTTGTTATCGTAGTAAAATCAGATCAAGTCAAATAGAAGCTCAAGGTCTAAATACTCCTGTAATAACTCATTTCTATTCACATTATTGATTGCATCAATCTCCACAGATCTCAAAAGTTTGCAAATATCATTATGAAAGCAACTTCCCCCAATACTATCAACTTCCGCCTATACTATCAAGCAATCAGATTTGTTGTTAATCTATTTATTTGTTGTTGTTTCTTCATCACTGTCTGGCAGAGGATCGGCCCTTTTAGTGAAATCTACCTCAACATACTCTGTCATATCATCTAGTCCATGGATAACTAATTTTTTCTGGCCTTTAGGCTGATCGTTGAAGGTAAGATCTGCATAAATAAGTCCATCTTTGTTCACATTTTTCTGTAAAAAAAAGTATTAATTCATGATCTGCATGATTTATATATGAACTTTAAAGTAAACAATGCTTTTATGTACACAACTATCAATCTTATGTGTTATTTTTAGTTTATGGCACAATATCATTCTTGCAACAAACATCATAAACCAAGAGGGCCATTAAATGGCCCTAGATTGATCATCTAAAATACAATGTGAAGAAAGGTCAAAATTTTTCCATGTATGTTAGAGTGTCATTTTTGGACAAGTGCATAATTATCAAATATTATAGTCTGCAACCCAAAAAATTTAATTTCTGGGCATTGTCGTTTCACAAGAAGACTTAAATGTGTTTTTCTACAGAAGTTTTTATTATAAACAAACAAGGGGACCCCAGGGCCAACTCTGACTTCGGGAGCATGATCAATATATATATATATATAATATATATATATATATATATATATATATATATCCCTAAGGCAATGTGAAGCTCTGGGCATTACAGCTTCAAACAAGAAAACAATGTGTGCAATCACTATTCCCATATTTAAATAGTCAATTTAATCTAAGTGACATATGGGGCAGGGCCAATTATAAACAAAATATAAAGTCCACATGCAAATGTTACATGCCAAATATATATGCTCTTGGCACCGATATTGCAAAAGTAAAGGATTGAAAGACATTTTTACTTCGTAAGTTGTCAAAATTAACCAAGTTTGCCCCGGGCTTTTAAACCAATGGGCAGGATTTATAAAACTGTTGTAGAGGTTCACCAGGCCAAGCTTTTGGTATCGTAGTTAAGACTGAAATGTGTTGCTTTTAATAAAGTAAATAACCTGTACAGGCCAATTTTGACATCTTGAATGTGATTAATGTAACTTTTGTACATAACCACATGGAGATGGCCAACATAAATGAAATGACCCTGATTGAAGGCCATGATTTATATAACCTATAAAGAGGATCACAAGGTGATGCTACATCCCAAATATCTAAGCCCGTGACATTGTAGTTGAATGAAAATGAAATTAATTTTTTTTTTACACATTTCATTTGAAAGTCTATTTTAGCCCCAGCAACCTAACTGTGCATAGGACTAGAATCATATATGAATTGATGAAGAAAGACACTAAAGCACCATTCCTGTGAAATTTGGTAAAAATTCACAATTTTGTATAAGAGAAGATATAGTTTAAAGACATTTTAGATAATGACGCTCTGCCATTAATGGAAATCACTTGATCAGAAAAGCTCACCTTTGAACAACAAGTGATAAGGTGACCTAAAACTTGTAAATAACAATCTGCATTCTTGCTGGCCATAGGAAAAGATTTTTTTATTTATCATTTAGCAGAAAACGTTCTTTAACTTTGCTCTGCTGTGTATATAAAATTCTTTGAAACATATATGTATTAATGACAAACCTTTGGTTGTTTTGTTTCTTCAGCTAGGGGATTTTCATATGGATTTTCGTCATATGCTTTACCCATTCCTTTCTTTACTTTTTTCATGCTGATATTATCATTCAAAGCAGCAGCTGGTGCATTTTCATAAATGTCTCCTTCTGAAGTTTAAACAAAACTGAAAATGAAAACTGTTAATAAATGAATGCTTCCTTAAGAAAAAATTCACCTTTAGAGGACAAAGAAGTCTATTTGTTCTGTTTTGAAACTTTCAAAATAGAATTAAGATAGCTAGCATCATAATGTTGACATGACTGACGTAATGAGAAACAATTATGTGAAAAATTTTGAAAAACAAGGGGACCATTGGCCCAAAGCACTCACCTGAAGACAGACTGTTATTTGTGCAAGGGACACTTTTGATACCAGAGGACAACTTTGAACACATTTGGTAGAAGATTCATAGATGATATAATAAACCAAATATCAAAGCTCTAAGCCTTGTACCTTCAGATAAGTGGATTTTTTTAAGTTTTTACTATTATCAAGTACAAAATGAAAATTAATGTCTCCCCCTGGGCCGGGCCAATTTTGACCCCTGGGATATAATTTGCACAATCTTGGTAAAGGTTCACAAGAAGTCAACCTGTGACTCCCCTCCGGGGCAGGGCCAATTTTGATACTATGGGCAAACTTTGAAGAACTTTATTAAAGGATTTATAGATGAAATTGTATACCAAATATCAAAGCTCTAAGCCTTGTTCCTTTAGAAAAGGAGATTTTTTAATTTGCATTTATTCCACTCCTTTTCTGGCCCTGTGACTTTCTCATGCAACAGACCGGGACCATTTTAACAACTTTGAAAGGTGACCAACCAAGCATCATTCCTACAAAGTTTGGTTACTGTGCAGTCAATGGTTTCAGAGGAGATATTAAAAGTAATTGTTGACAACACACAACAACGGACGTTGGGGGATCACTATAGCTGAACAGGAGCACGTTGTGCACAAGTAAACTAACAAGAGCTTCGCTCAAACAGGGCAATATACTCCTGAGAAGGTGCTGTTGACAACTAGAACTCCGCGAGTCCGATGTGTCGCCTTGTGAACAATATAGTTTAGGAGAAATGGCCAGGACAAAAATGAAATTTGAAAATCAACAAAGGGCAATAACTCAAAAAATAAGAAATGCAGAGCAGCAGTGTCTGTGCAATGCACTTCTTATCAATAAGATCTATCATCCTATTAAGTTTAAAGTCTAAAGCTTTTATAATTTATGAGAAATGGCCTGGACAAAAATAAAGTATGAAAATTAACATACGGCAATAACTCAAAAAATAAGAAATGCAGAGTACAAGATCTTAGGCACTGCACTTCTTCTTAATGAGATTTATCATCCTATGAAGTTTCATGTCCATAGCTTTTATATTTTAGGAGAAATGGCCTGGACAAAAATAAAGTATGAAAATTAACAAGGGGCAATAACACAAAAAATTAGAAATGCAGAGTACCAGTTCTTGTGCACTGCACTTCTTCTTAATGAGATCTATCATCCTATGAAGTAACAAGTCCATAGCTTTGATACTTTAGGAGAAATGGCCCGGACCAAAATAAAGTATGAAAAGTAACAAAGGGCAATAACTCAAAAAATTAGAAATGCAAAGTACCAGTTCTTGTGCACTGCACTTCTTCTAAATGAGATCTATCATCCTATAAAGTTTCAAGTCCATAAATTTATTTTTTAGGAGAAATGGCCCGGACAAAAATAAAGTATGAAAATTAACAAAGGGCAATAACTCAAAAAATAAGAAGTGCACAGTACCGGTTCTTGTGCACTGCACTTCGGGTCTTTATAAGAAGCATGTATACCAAGTTTGAAGTCAATCCGACTTGTAATGACTGACTTATGCTCCGGACAAGCTTAAGGAGACGCCGAGGCTGACACCGCCGACAAAAGTAACCCCTATATGTCGCCTTTTTCAAGGCGACACAAAAATATGACTCAAAGAAAAATAATTATATTGTTGTTAATGGCTAAGATCATGATTTTTCAATCAAATATAAATAAAAAACAAGATTGCATTTGTGAAAAATGCTATGTCACTGCATTAATACAACACTTCGAAGGACTCCATTGAGGTTTTAAAGTCTAAAAATATAACATTTAATTTCTTACATAAATGAGCTGGGGCACTTTATAGAAATATACTAGTTAAGAAATATACTTTGAAATAAATTGAAAATTGTATTTTGATGCTTTTTTTTAGCCCAATTCAAGTAAAAAGCGTTTAAATGCTTTTCATTTTGGCTCATTTTTTACAATTTTAAGAATTATTCTGGCAAAACGAAGTGCCTGAATGATCTAAAATTTTGCACAAAGATTAGTGGTCTAAACCTACATCAAATGGTACATTTATCTGAAAAAAAAATAATTTCAGTCCCATCATGTCAAAAAACCTCAGTGGAGTCCCTTTAAAAAAGTTGTGTAGGAACAGAAGATTTTTTTTTGTTTCTATACAATTGAACTTTGCTTTAATGTAGTTGAGTCTAGTGATTTTGTGGTCATGGTCATATTTTTTAATGGCCTACATCAAAGGACAAGACAGTAAGTCACTTTGTTTAGGTCAGCTGATATCAAAGTTCAATTTACATCCTAATCTGTGCACATGGTTCACATTTTATAGCTGTACATCATAGGACAAGAAATTAGGTGACATGTCAAAATCTAGGTCAGCTGACATTGAAATTCAATTTTACATCTCAAACTGTGCTCATGGTCCACATTTCATAATGGTACATCAAAGGACAAGAGAGTAGGTCACTGTCCCTTTGCGCAAGGAAAAATTTTGACCCAAGGGTTGAATTCAAACAATCTTGATACATTTTATGTAGCTTTCTCCTCTTCATAATCTATTTTTACAATATGTACAACAAGAGCTGTCCGTAAGACAGCGCGCTCGACTTTTTTATTGCTTGCCAATAAAAAAAGTTTTTGCAGTAAAAGGCAATACAAGAATCTCTGTATTTTTAAAGTGAACTAGTTGTTTGATACCCTTGAATATTACAGCAATGTTTATATGACATAATTTATGGTAAAGTGAACAAGTGGATAGGAATGAATTTTTTTAGATTTTTTAAGTTTTTTAGTGCTTGCCTATAATACAAAACATTGACAGTTAAGGGCCATAATTCAAATAAAATCTTTGACAGAATTACCTTCTCCTGGACATGTTTGGGAATCATGATTGTAAACAAGTATTTCAACTTTCAAATTAATATCTCAAACAGTTCAGTCAAAAAGTGGACTGGTACTAAAAACTTAACCAAGATTCTAAGTCGATAAAAGGCCTTAATTTTTAAAACAAATCCTTGACAGAGTTACCTTCTCTTGCGTACAGATGGGGGTAATGATGTGAAATAGCATTAAAAGTTTCAAAGCAATATCTCAAAGGGTTAAGGCAATAAGTGGATTTTACCCATATTCAATGTATTTTCTAAGTCAAAAAGGGGCATAATTCTGTCAAAAAACCTTGACAGAGTTATGTCCTCTTGTCTGTTGATGAAGGTCGTGATGGTAAACAAGTATGGTCAGTTTCAAAGCAATACCTCCAATGGTTTTGAAATAAAGTGAGGTGGTACAAAAAACTTAACCAAGCTCAATACACACTTTCTAAGTCAAAAAAGGGCCATAATTCTGTCAAAAACCTTGACAGAGTTATGTACTCTTGTCTGTAGATGGAGGTTATGATGGTGAACAAGTATGGTAAGTTTCAAAGCCATACTTGTAATACTTCTGAAATAAAGTGGGGTGGTACGAAAAACTTAACCAAGGTGTGACGCCAACGCCGACGCCGGGGCGAGTAGGATAGCTCCCCTTTTCATAGAAAAGTCGAGCTAAAAATAAAATTAATGGGCGGGGCAAATTTTGACCCCCAAGGCTATAATTTGAACGATCTTGGTAGTGGTCCACTACACAATGTTTCATGCAATATATATTATAATATCTAATCTCTAGCCTATGTCAATTAAGAGAAGATGATTTTATAAGTTTTTTTACTATATACATGTACTTATAAGGAAAACCTATGACCCCCTGGGGGGAGCAATTTTGACATTAGATGCAAATGTGAACAACTTTGGTAGAGAACCTATAGATGATATCATATTCCAAATATCAAAGCTCTTATAAGCCTTGTAACTTGAGACAAAAGGATTTTTAAGTTTATACTATACATACATAGTAAAAATTAATGACCCCTGGGGTGGGGCCAATTTTGACCTGGGGGCTATAATTTGAACAATCTTAGTAGAGGTCTACCAGACAATGCCTTGTGCAAAATATCTAGGCTATAGGCCTTGTGGGTCTTTACAAGAAGATCTTTTAAATTATTCGTATATAATAATTCCTTTTGATTGCCATGGCAACCAAATTTCTGCTTGGAATCAAATTATTTGTATAACTTTGGAAGCCCTCCACCCAAGGAACAATCCTTAGACCAAGTTTTGTTGAAATTTAACAAGTGGTTTTTCACAAGAGTTCACTATTTAATCTATATAAAGCATGTGCGCACGCACGCATGCACGCTTGCACGCACGCACCCACACAGGAATTGCTATATGCCACTGCATCGCAAATGCTGCGGTGGCATAAAAATGAAAAGAAATTGCTAAAACTCACCTATTTCAATTTTGCCCTTTTTGTTCTTCTTGTCTACAAAATACATTTTAAACAATTAATTGTCAACAAAAAGCTATAAAACTAGAATCTACATATATGTTTTGTAGGGTATGATGCTAATATTCAAACATTCTCTTAGCTGTGAAGCTGCCAATAAGGACCCCTTACATTTCCCTATTCTATTAATATAATTGCCTTGCTAGTTGCTAATGAATGATATAAATAATTATAACAATTATATTTGTCATATGGGAATAATTCAGCAAATTGTTGTGTATTTTTTGTAATCTCCTAAACTAGATATTCAACAAGAGAGCCATGTTAGGCTTTATTGCTCAACTGTCTATGTAGGTTATAAATGGCCAGTGACACGAAATAACTTTAACCATAAATGACAAGTAGGCATTAGTTAAACTATAGTTCAACAAATATCAAAGTAAAGAAATGTGCTTCATAGCTTCAGCTCTCAATAAAAATCTGTTCATATCTGTAGCTGCAAAAACAATAAAGTAGGTAAATAGGCAAATATCTTGATCAAATGATATTTACAGTTTTTACGAAATTCATGTAAGCAAAACATATGAACCTGAACATGGCCAATTTTGACACAAGAGGCATAATTTGAACAACTTGGACAACGGTCCACTAGACAATGTAACCATGCCGAATATCTAGCTCTAGCCTTGGTCATTTGAGAGAACAAGATTTTTATGCCTCAGCCATATAATGGCTGGGGCATATAGTGTTACCCTGTTCCGTCCTTCTGTTATCATCAGTTTCCGCTCATGATCTTAGTAACGGTTGCACACATTCATCTCAAATTTGACATATAGATATATCATGAGAAAATACAGGTCAAGTTTGAATTTGGTCATGGTTCGATGATTTTTGACAGTTATGCCCTTTGATGAATTTTTTAGTTTCCGTTCATTTTCGACCCAATGGTATTACACATTCAACTCAAATTTGACATATGGATACATCAAAGATATGCGCAGGTTAAGTTTTTGAATTTAGTAATGGGTTCGATGATTTGTGCAGAGTTATGCCCCCTTTCACTTTGAAAAAATAATATGAATTTTCAGTTTCCGTTATTTTTCTCTCCACGGGTATTCCAATCAAATTCAAATTTGACATATGGATAAACGTCAAGAATGGCAGTTCCAAGTTCAATTTTTGGTCTGGTTTCGATGATTTTGGCGTTATGCCCTTCTTTGATATTACGATTTCGGTTTCTTTTAATTATCAGTTTAAATTATACCCAGATTTGACTATGGATACGTAAGAAGATGGCGGGGTCAAGTTCGAATTTTTGTCAGGTTGATTTTTCAGGCGGTTTGCCCCTTTCACTTTGAAATAATATGATTTTAGTTTCGTTTCTTTCTCCAAGTGTAACTATTCAACTCAAATTTGAAAAACATTACATAGATGTTAGGAATTAAGCAGATCTTTCAAGTTGGAATTTGGTATGTTCAATGATTTTGGACCAATGTTAGCTCTCTAAATGTTGGAAAAATGTGAATTCTTTAGTTTCACATCATATTTTTGTAGAAATGTTAGGAAGTTATTTGTTGCACAATATGTGCATTTACAAGGTTACCGTGATAGTTTGTACTTGAACTTTGTTTAAATTGGTTTGTGTTTACATTGAATATTAAGGCTTTGAATTAAAATGAAAAATTTAGTTTTGTGCAAACCCAAATTTGGAATTAATATTGTAACAAATTTGGAATGTGTGCATGCGTGGCTCTGTGCATGGTGATCACATTTGCTTGTTTTTTATTTTTTTTAAATTTAATGTCAATGAATGAATGACCTGTGGCAAGAGAGCCAATTTTGGAGCAATGGCTATAACTTCACAAATTTGGTAAATGTTTCGACCAAATAGTTGCATGCAAATAACTAACTACCTCAAGCCTTTGTCTCTTGGAGATGAGATTATGACCACTCTTGGATAAGGAGCACATTTTTTGTAACCTTGAATGTTCGAGCAATTCAAATTTGAAACTGTTTGAAGGACTAATGCAAGATATAATACGGGATTGTCTGGCTTGTCTTTTAGCAATTTTTGGGCTTGGACTTATTATCCACATTACTGGAACAGTTGAACGTTGTGAAAGAGGATCTGTCTGAAAGATCAATGAATCATTGGTTTCGAGCAGAGTTTAATTTGTTTGATGACGCAACCGGCGCTGGACTAAATGGTTTAATAGTAAGATTGATTATATTTGCATCAGGGAAGGTTTAAAAATCAAATCTAGCTTAGTACTGAGAAAAGAAGATTTTTATAAAATATTATTGTTTAATTAAACTTAAACATTAAATCAAGAGACCTCGGAGGGGCAATTTTAAGACTGCAGGAATAGAAATGTCAGTCAATATACACAGCTACACCAAACATTCTGTCTTGGAGAGTTGACAAGTGGAACAAATCTTAGTATTACCAACCCTATCTAAAATTATGTTAAAACCTACTGCAAGATAAAATGTTGTTTTTAATTTTATTATTGAGTCTATTAAATTATATCTGGCCGGGAAATTTTACCAAGCGCTATAAATTAACAACTTGAAAGATTCATATGAATAATATAAGAAGACTATAACCATCAAAATATGTAGCTTGGGCTCTGGAGGAAAGATGTTTTTAAGGTTGATTTATTATATTTTTGATTATGTGATAGATGTGCAATGACAACGAATCTTACAATCGTGATAGAGGCATCATGTCAACATCTAGGCAAGTTTTCAAATGGTCATATGGGTTTTGATAAGGAAAGCAATTCATATTGAAACAAACAGCCCAAAGAGGACGTATATGCAATACATGTGAACAATGTCAACAGTCAACCAATGAGCCAAAGTTCACACGAATAGAGAACCATTCTAGCACACAGACGGTTGAAAGAAAAATGTGCAAATATTTTTGAAATATTAATTAACTAAATTTAAAATACAAATTTCTGTTGGGGGCATTTTATAACTAATCTTGATTTGAAGTAAACTCCAGTATAATTTGATAACTTTCTAGAAAAACTGGTACAGGCCAAACTTTTTTGCCTTTCACAATTGCACTTTACATAGTTTCATATCTAATTTGTTTATTGTGTTTATTGTAAATTGTTTTAATTTATCAAGCCAAGTTACATTGTTACCAGTCGAAAATGCTCTTAGCGGACCCCTGAATTTCAACAGATACTGTCTTAATCCGGCACTGTAGATTTCAGTCCCTCCAAACATATACTTATCCCTATATCATGGTTCTTATAAATATGATCACCATTCCTGTTCATAATGTGACAAACAAACTAATTGTCTGTTTCATGATGCAACACCTTCACACCTTTTCATGTCCGTTAATTCTGATAAATAATAATGTTTTAACACCACATAGGTCCCAATGTAATCCCCCCCCCCTATCAGTACTCTTCAAACACTGACACAAACTCTGCTATTACACCTGTTTAAGTTTATAAGGTATCAGTACGATCCCGTTGTCGAGGGGTTAAATCGATGACTTCTAATCAGTTATCTCGGGCGTGGTTTGATCCGCTGCGGAGGAATGAATTGGTAGTTTGCACAGAGGAGGTAAGTCTAAAGTTACTTTAAGACAACTCTCAAAGAAACGAAATGGTTAGAAAACACCTACCCGCCTATATGACTGAAATATTGTTGGGAAAAGGCGTAAAATGAAACAAACAAACAAAACAAGTGACGAAGCATGCCTATTATGGTACACATGATGCAATCAACGTGTGTTAATAAATTGAGGTGTAATGCACATAATGACCTGATCAAACTGGATAAAGATTTGAGTCAAATTTCAATAAAAAAATTCTAGAGTGCAAACGGCAGCACTTTTTTAAAAATTTACCTTTCTATGACTACATGAAAACTACGGAAAAATGTGGATAGCAGACCTTTCATTTAAGAAAAAAAGACAGAGACTGTAACTTTTTTCTGAAGATCCCTTGGAAAGTCACATGAAAGTCTCAAATTAATAAAGATAGATAAATAAATAGTATTTAAAATAATATCATTCAAAAACCCTTGACTGAGGAATCTTTAGACATAAGACAAGATAAGACAAAAAATTCACATTCAATGCATCAACGTATATTTGAACCTTGGACTTTATGATTTCCACCAAAAGCGGGCCATTGATTGCCGAATGCTACAAAACAACATTTAGTGTTTGGGCCAACTTTTGTAGAGCATATGGTGTCCCCACCAATAGCTCTTTTTTTTTCCCCGTTTGGTCCTACAAAATTCCCAGTTCTTTTGAAATTTCCAATAGAAATTAGAAACAAAATTAAATGATGCTGTGATTAAGGTCTTTTACGCCTTATTAGATATTCCCCGTGCTTTTTGCTATTTCTATTTGAGAACTTGTTTAAAAGTTTGTTTGTTAAATTGAGACCTTTTCCCAAAGTTATCAGCACAAATACGCATATTTTTCCCAAGAAAAAAGGCTTGAGCCTTCCAAAAAATGTGTTTATGCCTGTTATAGATATTTTTTTAATAAACTTGGATAGAAGGACAAGTTCAGGTCAACTTAACTTTGCCTTTGTTTATGGTTTCGACTGATGTTTTTTTCTTTTCTTTTTGTTAAAATGTTGGAAAACAGTTTGTGTATCAACATTATTTGTGTTTAACCATTTGGGGCCACTAAATACTGTTTTCTTTAAAATTTGCCAACTTGTTCTATTATATATCCTATAAAAATTAATAATTTAATAATCTCAGTATTTTTAAGAAACACATGGTATCTGTTTGTCGATGACACACTCCGTCAATATTTATTTTAACGATAACATTAGGGTGTACTAGTCAGATCTCGAACAGAAAGATTAAAATTTCAGACATCATTAATTATCTTACTCCCTAATAAAATGGGGGGAAAGATAGGTCTTAACTTATAGAGGAAAAGGCAAAAGTTGTTGTGATGACATGTATTCAGTGAACATGAAAACAACTTTACATACATTGTATGAAATAGTGCACATTTATTTTCAACAAGTGATAACCAAGTTTGCAAAATGTGATTCTGAAAAGAAATAATTGAAACTGAAACTAAAATAGCACAAAGAAATAAACAAGAGGGCCATGATGGCCCTGAAGTCGCTCACCTGTATATAGGCCACCCGGAGCGGGGCCAGTTTAAACCCCCGGGCATTTATTTGAACAAACTTGGTAGACACCCATTAGAAGATGTTTCATGCTAAATATCTAAGGTCTAGCTCGTTGGGTTTTTTAAAAAAGAAGATTTTTTAAGGTTTTTCTTACACAATATTCAAAAAACAATGACACCCTGGGGCAGGGCCAGTTTTTGACCCCAGGGTTTTTATTTGAACAATCTTTGTAGACACTAACTAGAAGATGTTTTCAATGCTTAATATCTACACTCTAGCTATAATTCGGGTTTTTTCTTAAGTTTTTGCTTATACACCATATAAAGGAAAATCAATGTCCCGGGGGCGGGCCAATTTTGACCCCAGGGCTCTTATTTGAACAAAACTTGGTAGACATCCATTAAACATGTTTCATGCTAAATATCTTAGCTCTAGCTCTTTGGGTTCTTTAAAAGAAGATTTTTAAGTTTTTTACTAAATATGCATAATAGGAAGAAATCAATGACCCCTGGGCGGGGACAATTTTGACCCCAGGGCTCTTATTTGAACAAACTTGGTAGACATCCATTAGAACATGTTTCATGCCAAATATCTAAGCTCTAGCTCTTTGGGTTTTTTAAAAATGGATTTTTAAGTTTTTACTATATGCATATAGGAAAAATCAAAAAGTATAAGAGGTTGCCTTTGCCATGATACCAAGTTCAAACACAGCTACAAGGATTGTACACTGTCTTGAACCTGACTTTTACATATCTATTGATCACGAGTAATGTCCTAATCCATGAATCGTTTCTTCTTTGAAGTTGGTGATTTTACAAAGAAATTAAATTCTTAATGTAACCATGATCTCATTGTGAGTCATTTACTGGCCATGATCAATGCCTATTAGGAAGTAAACTAGCTAAGTTTTATTCCTATTAGACAATCATACACAAAATTTCTTTGTGACCTTGACCTTAAAACCAATAATGGTCATCCTCTGGCCACTCACAATGTCCCTTATAAGCTATTAAGTTATATAAATCACTTCTTTCATGTTATAAATCAGAAATGAATGTTAAAGTAAATGTCAGTCTGTCAGTCCTTGACTTTAACTCTAATCTACTAAAAAAATAGGGGTTTAACTGCCCAATGTCCTTACCAAGTAACATAAATTGCAAAATTGCAGCTTATTATTTCTAAGGTTTTTACATGGACAAGGCTAACATGGCATTTACACAGACAAAGGTAGGCAGACATACACATTATTGCGTACACCAACCAAACCATCACAGTATGCTTATTTCTTGTAAGTGGAGTCATTAATATGGTCTAGAGGCACAATTAAATAATTCATGATAGTCTTCAGCAGTTTTTGTAAAAAAAATATGAATTTCTAGACTATAAAATGTATTTGAGTTAACAAAATGTTGCATATATTGCAAGAACATTTGCCTAGTAGTACCGTTCAGTATCACTGGCAGTTTCCATTTCATCAAGGCAAATAATTTACTTATTTCTGAAACAAAACTACAAATCTATGATGGCAATGGTTTACTATCTTTATCCAAAAGATAAATTTAAACAAGAGCTGTCGGTAGGACAGCACGCTCGACTATTCTAAGTGCTTGATAGTATTATGGATCTTTGTCATTGACCTACAATTATGACCCTAAATGCATATGTGAAGTTTTAAATAAATATCTTTAATAGTTATTGAGATATGTAAAACTTGCATGTAAACATTAACCAAGAGACTAAGTAGAAAAGGGGTTATGAATCAGCCTTAGTGCAAGATAGAGTTATGGAACTTGGTCAGTGACATTCAATTATGACCCTCCAATTATGACCCTTAGTGCATGTGTATGTGTAAAGTTTCAAGTAAATATCTTTGAAGACCTTTAACCAAAATTTCTAAGTTTCAAAGGGACAAATAATTCTGCAAATATTGCAGACAGAGTTATGCAATTTTGCAAACTGATGTATATTGTTACTATAAAAAAGTATTTTAAATTTCAATTTAATATCTCAAGCAATAATTGAGATATTTGACTTTACAAAAAACTTTAACCAAAATTTCTAAGTTCCAAAGGGGCATAATTCTGTCAATATTGTAGGCAGAGTTATCCAACTTGTCAATCTGATGTACCTTGTTACTATAAAAAAGTATTGTAAGTTTCAATTGAATATCTCAAGCAATAATTGAGATATTTGACTTTACAAAATACTTTAACCAAAATTTCTAAGTTAAAAAGGGGCATAATTCTGTCAATATTGTAGGCAGTGTTATCAAACTTGTCAGTCTGATGTACCTTGTTACTATAAATAAGTATTGTAAGTTTCAATTAAATATCTCAAGCAATAATTGAGATATTTGACTTTACAAAAAACTTTAACCAAATTTCTAAGTTAAAAAGGGGCATAATTTTGTCAATATTGTAGGCAGAGATATCCAACTTGCCAATCTAATGTACCTTGTTACTATAAATAAGTATTGTAAGTTTCAATTGAATATCTCAAACAATAATTGAGATATTTGACTTTACAAAAAATTTTAACCAAAATTTCTAAGTTAAAAAGGGGCATAATTCTGTCAATATTGTAGGCAGAGTTATCCAACTTGTCAATCTGATGTACCTTGTTACTATAAATAAGTATTGTAAGTTTCAATTGAATATCTCAAGCAATAATTGAGATATTTGGCTTTACAAAAACTTTAACCAACGCAGACCCCGACGCGGACGCTGACGCCGGGGCGACTGCAATAGCTCTCATATTCTTCGAATAGTCGAGCTAAAAACTAAAATTAAGATCAGCAAAATCTTTTAAGTTTACCTTTTGGTTCCTAGAGTAGTTATCTTTAAAAGAAAACTATAAAGCAATAGTCTAGGGCAAAAGAAAGAATTTGAATAATCAGACAAACTACCATATTTCAATAGAAAAAAAAACAAACCGTTTTTCTCTTTCTTTTTCTTTTTATCCACCTGTGTATAAACATCGTTTCCCTCTGGAACTTTCTTTTTCTTCACAGGCTTTGCATAGACATTATCAGTTGACTGAACTTCATCCGCTGACACATACATTGGGTTTACAGTATTCACTAAAACGAATCAACTGAGTAAGAGTATTGAATTGTTATATTCAGGTAAAAAAATATTAAATATCCACCTTTTACATAGATGTTGGGGTTTAACAATTTCAGTTATAACAAGATTGCATTTGTGAAAAATGCTATGCCAACGCATTAACACAACACTAAATAGTAGTGTAGGAACATATTTTTTTTGTTTCTTTACAATTGAAGATTGTCATAATGCATAGATCCCTGACCTTTCTAATTCTTATTATCAGATTAGTGGTTAAATCTATTGTTATTCAAATAAAAGATCAGAGTAGGAATATATCAATGCACTTGAAGGTCATATTTTGGTGGTGAAGGTCATATTTCACACAGCCTAAATTTCATGACTAAATCAAAAGACAACACAGTAAGACACTTTGTCAAAATCTAGGTCAGCTGATAACAAAGTTCACTTTACATCTTAATCTGTGCACATGGTTCAAATTTCATAGCTGTACATCAAAGGACAAGAAAGTAGGCCACATCATCAAAATCTAAATCACCTGATATCAAAGTTCAATTTTACAACTAAAACTGTGCAAATGGTCAAAATTTCATTGCTGTACATCAAAGGACAAGAGAGTAGGTCACTGTCCCCTTGGGCAAGGCAAAAATTTGACCCATGGGTTTAATTCAAAACAATCTTCATACAGGTCCACCAAACAACATTTCATGTCAAATATCTAAGCTGTAGCTTTCTCCAATTTAGAAAACAATTGTTTTAGTTTCAGTTTTTACTATGTGTATATAATAGAATCAATGCCCCCAGGCAGGGCCAATTTTGACACCAGGGGAAAAATTTGAACAACTTTGGTAGAGGACCCATAGATGATATAATATAGCGAACATCAAAGCTCAATGCCTTGTACCTTCAGACAAAAAGCAAAAAGATTTTTTTGATTTTTTTTACTTTATGTACATAATGAAATTCAATGACCCCATAGGTGAAGCCAATTTTGACCCAAGGGCTATAATTTGAACAATCTTGGTAGAGGTTCACTTCGCAAAGTCTCATGCCAAAGATTTAACCTCTAGTCTTTGTCAATTCAGAGAAGAAGATTTTTCAAGTTTTTACTTTATACATATAAGAAAAACAATCGCCTCTGGGGCAGGGCAATTTTAACACTAGGGGCATAATTAAAACAACTTTAGTAGAGGACCCATAGATGATATTGCATACCAAATATCAAAGCTCAAAGCCTTGTACCTTCAGACAATAAGATTTTTTAAATCTTTTACTGTATGTACATAGTGAAAATCAATGACCCCTGGGGGTGGGGCCAATTTTGACCCCATGGCTATAATTTGTACAATCTTGCTAGAGGTTCACTACACAATGTTTCATGCAAAATATCTAACCTCTAGCCTTTGGCAATTTAGAGAAGATGATTTTTTTAATTTTTACTATATACATATATGGAAAATCTATGATCCCCGGGCCGGGCTGATTTTGACCCAAGGGCTATAATTTGAACAATCTTGACAGAGGTCTACCAAACAATGCCTAATGCAAAATATCTAAGCTCTAGGCCTTTTGGGTCTTTACAAGAAGATTTTAATTTATTCTTATAATTCCTTATGGTTGCCATGGCAACAAGATTTCTGCATGGAATGAAATTCTTTGAACAACTTTGGAAGCCCTTCACCCAAGGATTAATCCTGCCAAGTGTGGTTGAAATTAGGACTAGGTTTTTCACAATAAGATTTTTTAAGCTCACTATATAATCTATAGAACACACACACACGTGAATCGCTATATGCCGACGCATCGCAGATGCTGCGGTGGCATAAAAATGGAAGCTATAGTTATGTAAATTGCCAAGATCATGTTCTTTGCACTGATCTTAAAGTGTGTTAATTATTTAGATCAATTTCGTACAGATAAACTGACGAGCAGTTTAATTACTAGGGGGCATAATAAAAATGATGAGCCACATCAAGTTAATTTTTTGGATGAGTTTTAAAACATGTATAATACTATATAAATTTGTAGTCAAGTAAACTGTGAAACCTACCAATCTACTAACCAACCCACTGGGTACAACCATTGTTTAATATCAGTAAAATACTCTTTTGAACAATTGCAAGTTTCTTATATGCAATGATAAATGACAAATAACTTTGATCTGGATTTTGTAAATTTACATTAGAATAAATATATTGAAAATAAGTTTTTCTATTTATGTTTCCCTAGGGGCAGGGCCAATATTGACCCTTTGAGCATGATTTATATAAATTTTGTAGATGTCAACAAGGCATGCTTCATGCAAATATCTGAGCTTTAACATAACAATAATATTTCTGGGAATATGAAATGTGTTCTTATTACCTTCATTGATTTGAAGCTTTTAAAATTTAGCAATTTAAAAAATGCAGTGGCAGTCATGTGTTAAACTTTCTGCTGATTAAAAACTGCTGATATGGTACTTCAAACATCATTTATGTCCAAAGTTTTAATAAATTGCCTTAAAAAAATTGACATTTGATAGGCATCATTTACAATTTATTTTTATTTAGTGAATTTACATATTAAAGTAACATCAGTTTCTATTAATGAGATAATGTTGTCTTATTTCAAAATAATTAAATCATATAAACCTCAATTATTAATATCTAAACAGAAAACAACAGGGCCATGATGGTCCAAAGTCGCTCGCCTGTATATAGGCCACCCGGAGCGGGGCCAGTTTAAACCCCCGGGCATTTATTTGAACAAACTTGGTAGACACCCATTAGAAGATGTTTCATGCTAAATATCTAAGGTCTAGCTCGTTGGGTTTTTTAAAAGAAGATTTTTTAAGGTTTTTCTTTACACATATATTCAAAAACAATGACACCCCTGGGGCAGGGCCAGTTTTGACCCCAGGGCTTTTATTTGAACAATCTTTGTAGACACTAACTAGAAGATGTTTCATGCTTAATATCTACACTCTAGCTATTCGGGTTTTTTCAAAGAAGATTTTTTATTATTTTTTATATAAATATATATATACACATACATATATATATTTCATATATACACACACACCAAAAAATGCAAATATATATATATATATATATATATTATATATATATATATATATATATATATATATATATATATATATATATATATATATATATATGTATGTATATTGTATATATATAATATATATATATATATATATATATATATATAAAAATTACATATAATATATATATATATATATACATATATATATATATATATATATATATATATATATATATATTATATATATATATATATATATATATATATAATATGTATATATCTAAAAAAAAAGTCGAGCTAATGAATGACCCCCGGGGCGGGGCCAATTTTGACCCAGGGCTCTTATTTGAACGAACATGGTAGACATTCATTAGAACATGTTTCATGCTAAATATCTTAGCTCTAGCTCTTTGCATTCTTTAAAAAAAATTTTTAAGTTTTTACTATATGCATATAGGGAAAATCAATGACCCCCGGGGCGGGGCCAATTTTGACCCCAGGGCTTTTATTTGAACAAACTCGGTAGACACCCATTAGAAGATGTTTTCATGCTAAATCTCTTAGCTCTAGCTCTTTGGGTTCTTTAAAAGAAGATTTTTTAAGTTTTTTACTATATATACATATAGGGAAAATCAATGACCCCCAGGGCGGGGGCTGATTTTAATTCTTGGAACAAAATTTGAACAACTTTGGTTTTGGACCTATAGATGATACCATAGACCAAATATCAAAGCTCTAGGCCATTTACTTTCAGACCAGAAGATTTTTCAAGTTTTCACTATATGTATATAATGAAAATCAATGACCCCCGAGGGCGGGGCCAATTTTGACCCGAGGGCCATTATTTGAACAATCTTGGTAGAGGTCTACCACACAATGTTTCATGCCAAATATCTTACCTGTAGCCTTTGCCAATTCAGAGAAGAAGATTTTTTTATGTTTTACTATATACATATTAGAAAAACCTATGACCCCCCGGGGCGGGGCCAATTTTGACACTAGGGACAAAATTTGTACAACTTTTGTATTGGACCTTCAGATGATACCATAGACCAAATATCAAAGCTCTAGGCCATTTACTTTCAGACCAGAAGATTTTTCAAGTTTTCACTATATGTATGTAATGAAAATCAATGACCCCCCGGGGCGGGGCCAAATTTGACCCTAGGGCCATTATTTGAACAATCTTGATAGAGGTCTACTACACAATGTTTCATGCCATATATCTAATCTGTAGCCTTTGCCAAATCAGAAAAGAAGATTTTTTTAGATTTTACTATATACATATAAGGAAAAACCTATGACCCCCCGGGGCGGGGCCAATTTTGACACTAGGGACAAAATTTGAACAACTTTGGTAGAGGACCCATAGATGATACCATATACCAAAAATCAAAGCTCTAGGCCATTTAGTTTCAGACCAGAAGATTTTTTCAAGTTTTCACTATATGTATGTAATGAAAATCAATGACCCCCAGGGCGGGGCCAATTTTGACCCTAGGGCCATTATTTGAACAATCTTGATGGAGGTCTACTACACAATGTTTCATGCCAAATATCTAATCTGTAGCCATTGCCAAATCAGAGAAGAAGATCTTTTTAGATTTACCTATAGACATATAAGGAAAAACCTATGACCCCCCGGGGCGGGCCAATTTTGACACTAGGGACAAAATTTGAACAACTTTGGTAGAGGACCCATAGATGATACCATATACCAAAAATCAAAGCTCTGGCCCATGTACTTTCAGACAAGAAGATTTTTTAATTTGTGTTTTTTGAAATCCTTTTTTGGCCCTGTGACCTACATATGCAACAGACCGGAACCATTTGAACAACTTTGAAAGGGGACCACCCAAGGATCATTTCTGTAAAGTTTGGTTGATGTGCAGTCATTGGTTTCAGAGGGATGTTGTTTATGTTAAAAGTTGACGACGCACGACGACGGACGACGGACACAGGGCGATCACAATAGCTCACCCTGAGCAT